TGTGTGTGTGTGTGTGTGTGTGTGTGTGTGTGTGTGTGTGTGTGTGTGTATGCTTGTGTGTTTGTTTGTGTGGAAGCCTGAAGAGGCTGGAGGTCAACCTTGACTGTTGTTTCTCCGTGTTTTGCAAAAGGGTCTTATTTCAGCCTGGGCTCACTAACCAGCTAGTGTGGCTGGTCATCGGCCTGGGGAGGGGGTGGGGTCCCTGGGATTACAAGTGCATAGCGCCACATGCAGGTTTGGGGAACAGAACTCAGTCCTCCTCTCATGGAGGACAAGTGCTGCTACCTGTTTTATCACCTGAACCACCTCCCCCAGCCCCTGCTCTCAGGTTGCTCTTGGGTTAAACCCAAGTCGCTCTCCCCAAGCAGTCAGGATCCACGCTCACATGCTCACACTCTCACAAGAATAGGTCTGTCACACATAGGAGTTTTCTGGGCACCCATCACCCTGGCTCTCTGGTATGATCGCCGTCCTAGAATTCCATAAGTTTTTTCATTATGGTTTGAACCTGAGTGTGTTTCAGGTTCACATTAGGCATGCTCAGTCCTCAGCTTGTGGTGCTGTTCTAAAGGCTGCAGAGGTCTGGCTCCCCGAGGGGGTTCTGGCTGGGGGAAGCGGGTCATGCAGGCAGGCTCTGCCCTGGCTGCAGCCTGCTCTCTCTCCTCCAGGGTCTGCACTGTGGAAACAGCCACGCTGTGCCACGCTGCCTCACACCCTCACTGCCAGAGAGGCCACCGCTTTCACAGCCAGGCCTTCCCCCATGATGGGCTAAAATTTCCCTGAAACCACGAGCCACAGCAACCTTTCCTGCCTGCTGGTCACAGTGACATAAAAGCAATCAACATACACACACCCGGAGCTGCAGTGGCGGACTCCTGGCAGCTTTCTCACTGTCCCCAGGTCATTCCATGTCCCCACCCTCCACTGCCAAAGACAGCCATGCGCTGGCATGATAGCAGGGGAGGGTGTCTGTGCCGTTACAGCATCCTGGCCCAGAGGCTAACCACGGGGAGAGACAGATGGGGCAGCAGGCAAGTCATGAGCTCTGGCCCCCACTGGCCCTGTCTGAGTCTCCATGACGCTCAGACACCACTTCACTCCTCTTCTGCAGAGCATGGGGTTGAGGATGTGCGTGTCAGGACCAGTGAGCTGGGTAAAGGTGCTTTCTGATGAGCCTGATGACCCAGAACCACAGGGTGGAAGGAGAAAACTGGCTCCCAGGAGCTGCTCTCTGGCCACACACAAAAGCATGCACACACACACACACGCAGTGAATATAAAAAACAGCTCAAAACTATAATTCACATCATGTTTCTTATGTCTCCCAAGTTGATACCCTTAGGTCTCCAGGACATGCTAGGCGGATGCCAAGGTCTGCATGCCTGGTCCTTGTACCTCTTCTTCCAGGAATGGCTATGGGGGAGTTTACTGTTAAAGCAAGGCTTTGTTTGCAGGAAAGGGGAGACCCAGTAGGTGTCTGTGTGGCCCCTGTAGGCTGACAGCACGCTGACACCATGCTCATAACCTCTGAGCTAACCCTGTCTGGACTTAATGAGGGGCACTGTGAGAGTGTCCAGGTCCCCGACCACCTACACTCTAGGGCAGTGAGCTCACACTTGAGTGCAAATGACGGCCTTTCTCCAGACAACCTGGCCCTCATGACAGGGCTTGCTTGTTCCTAAATCCTCCAGCTGTTACAGGATTAAGCCAGGAATGCTACCTCGGAGAGCCACTTCCTTCTCAGCCTGTGACTGGTCTCTAATTCAAGTAATTATGGCTTCTCCTTTTATTGCATTTTTGGGTGGGTTTACATGGTTGAAAATCCAGAAAGTACACATAGACAGACTCGTCTGGATTGTCTGACATCTTTTGTGCTGACAAGTAGCCCTGTGGGGATGTTTAGGGGTGGGCTGTTGGGTTGGAGGCTGCAAGCCTGTTACTGTGTCAGATAAGTTGGGGTACATCGTGGAAGTGGAAGCTTGGCATTCCTATCTTCCAAAGTGCATACCTGGGAACCTTCATTTCTTAGAGCTGGGCCCACGGAGCGTGTCACTGAGCCTCCAAGTTTCTGTCCAGCTGGAGACAGTGTTGAGGTCAGCCTCATAGTCAGGGAGGCCGAGGGCCAGCTGTAGCTCCCTGTCTGAGGGCTGTGTTTTTTACTCATGCTGTTGGGGTGTTTAAAACTGCCCCAACAAGAGGCAACAGGAACAAGAGCCACAGTTACCCTACTCTGCCTTTTGTGAGGCCAGAAGGACAAGGCGTAAAGGTGATCTCTGAATTCTCTCAGACAAGATCTTTTCAAGTGAGCAGAGAGGACAGACCCGTGATCCACACTAAGATTTGGGTCTGCTCAGTGTGCATTCTGGTTTCCAAGGAGCCAGGGATGAAGTTTTAGTTGTTGAGAGAGAAGACTTCCGTAGCTTTAAATCCACCTCAACGATAGGCCACCCACAGAGCCTCTGAGATGACTGAGGCACTTTAAACCCAACCTCGCTTCACAGCCAGAAACTAGACCCGTCCCTTCCCAGCCAGCCCGAACCCGGATGAGGGGTCTTCTCCAGTAGTGTGACTGGGCAGGGGACTTCCGTGTGGCTTAGTCTGCCGATTTGGTGCCCTCCTAGGTGGTCTGCCAGCTCCACAAGCAGAGAGGGGTGCTCTGCCAACCTCTGCACACACACACACACACGCGCGCACACAGTGGGGGAACTAGCAGGAAGGGCAGTGCAGAAAGATTTCGCTGTGTGCTGAAAGGAAGCTGACCTACCCGAGCAAGCAAAACCAAGTTGGAAGAAGGGCGCACATAACTGCCTTGTCTGACCCTCGAGCCAGCGTCAATCCCACCACACCTCGGTCTGCGCCTCAGTCCTGACATCCCACAGCCAGGTGAGTCTTTCTTCCTCTTAAAGCAGAGATCCTGTCACTTGAAACCTGGGACGCCAGCAGAGACGAGTCTAACTCACCCTGCCGGGGCTGATGTCCAGAGCATCACAGACAGCCTCGGCAAAGTGCTTGGATCTCTCGAAGCTCCCCCTCCCGATGCTGTGAGAGCCGTCCAACAGAAACAGGACGTCGGCCGCTGCGGAGCACCACATCACTAGAGACAGGAGCAGATGCAGGGTTAGACTCTGGCTTCCACCGCATAGACTTTGATAAGGGCCTGCTTGGAAGCACCTTTTCAGCCATACTACATGAGTCCGGTAAGAGGGGCTTCTGACCTGGGCATGGTCCTAGCCTTTGAGGGTCACTGTCTTAACTGTGTGCCCTGACATGTGCAGCTGAGTGACCTAGTGGTTCCAGCAGCGGCACTGACCGTGCCTTCCTTGGCATGTACCTTCCTTGGGGTTTTTACTGCTGTGACAAAACACCACGACCACAAGCAACATGGGCAGGAAAGGGTTTATTTGGCTAACACTTCTGTATCACAGTTTGTCACTGAAGGCAGCTGGGGCACCAACTCAAGCCTGGACCTGGAGGCAGGAGCTGAGGCAGAGGCCATGGGGGTGCTGCTCACTGGCTTGCGCGTCATGGCCTGCTCTGCCTGCTTCTTAGACAACACAGGAGCACAGCCCAGAGGTGGCCCCCGCAGTGGGCGGGGCCCTCTCACTAAGGAGGAAGAGGCTGAAGGCCTGCCTACAGCCAGGGCCTATGGAGGCCTTTCCTCAGCTGGGGCCCCTCCTCTAACCAGATGACTCCAGCCTGTGTCAGGCTGACCTAAATTAGCCGACACACATGTATCCGACACACCCATCTGCTGAGTCCTTCTGGCTCCCCACCTATTTCACTTGTTTGACTGTCTTCTGGAGACCTCCTCTACCGTACGAGTCACTATTTACAGTGCATAATTAATGTTTTTAGCGGTGTGCGGAGGGAGTCCTTCACCACCACACTCAACGGTAGAACGTTTTCTTCGCCTCAGGGAAGTCTCCACTTTCATTGTTGCCACCTAGCTCTCGACTCCAATTCTAAGGAGGTTTGTACTTCTGTGTGTGTGGCGGGGGCGTATGCTGGTATACGTGTGGGCATGTGCAGGTAGCAAGACAGCAAGTTCCTCCAGCATCCCCCCCCACCTCCATGTGCATATCACGCCACATACACTCACTCACACACCTAAGTATGCGCACACATACAAAACAGTGAATAGACAAATAACTGCAATAAAATTTAACTTAAAGTTTGGTAACAAGAGGTTGTTTTTGTTGTTGCTGCTTGTAATTATCACTATTTTAATTAAGGAGAGTCACTCAGTGGAAGTCACGAAAAGTACTGAATGGAGAAAATGACCGGCCACGTCGTGAGAGGAAGTCAGGACCACAGTGGAGACTCTCAGGGAGAGCATGGCTCCCCTGGTCCACGGGGCACTGAGTAGCCGTGTGGAAGAGGCGCGAACTGGACTTACATTTGCTGGCCACTGCGATCTTCCCAATGGTCTCCCTGCTCACATGCACTTCCTGAAGGGCGACGGTCGGGGACACTGGGAGAGAAAAGACGGAAGCGATCATGACACAGTAGGGAGGGAGGGGTCTTCACTCTCCACTAGGTGACCTAAGTGAACAGGAAGCAAAGCAGAAGGCAGAAATGTAGAGAAGCGCAAGGCTGGGGTGCAGCTCAGTAGCAGAGCACAGTGACCAAGTGGGATGCTCTGGGGCTAACACCTAGCTCACACCTCTAAGTATCACACGGACAGCGTTTAACTATCTTGCAAGTCTATAAAGTAACTTTGTTATTTATATTTGAGTGTTTTGTGTGTGTGTGTCTGGGGGGGGGGGCCCTAACACCAGATGGTTATGGAAAGACTGCTCCTGAGGGCTTCTGTCCTTGATCACAACTGTGTCCCCTTGGTTATGGCTCTTTGCTGTGTGTATCCAGGTGCATTCCTGCGAGGTCCCCAATCTGCTGCCGGGGACCATCACCATCGTAAAGCTTAAAATTCACAGAAGAGACAAATCCACAGAAAAGTGCCAGGGTGGACGTTCAAAGGGTACCAGAATGCTTAGATGACTAAATTCCAAACGTAACTCTAACTGAGGAAGGACTTAACTAGGAAACTTCTATGCAATGGGGATACTATAAAGTGATACCAGCTTTCCAGAAAACAATCTGGCCAGGTGAATCAGGAATCATAAAAATGGCTTGACACTGTAGTATTGTAACTGAAAGAAAATCAGAAGGGAAAACATGGTAGAGGGAGGAAAATGTGGCTAAGACCCTCTCCTTCAACATTCTTTGTGTTAGAGAAGGGCCACAGATAGGTAACGGACAGACAGGAATATGCGAGAAAACACTGATATATTTACACCCAATACGGTTTGTAAACATAACGTAATCAAGAGCTAAACTGTGTGAGGGGGGCACCTTAGTTTTTGTGCTTTTTCATATTCAGTTAAATTATAATGTTACATGAGCAGTTTTAGGAATAATTTTTAAAGACTTTGGATCTGAGGGTAGAGCTTAGTGGTAGAATGCTTGGGTGCTAACCACAAGGTTGCAAGGTCAATTTCCAGCACCCCAAATTTAAGTAAAAATAAGAAATGAACTTTGAAGGTAGGGCAACATGCCAGAGGGACCCCAGGATTGCTGAGGGGTGACCTGACCTGAAAACAAGAGGGAGGGCACCCAGGGAGCTATTTTGAAAAGCTAGCTCCTCCTTGCAAGTTCAAAGCAGGGGCATCTAGTTGCAGAAGTCCACATGGAGCTGCCGGGTCCATGCAACACAAGTTGCAACACATGCAGAGGAAGAAGCCCAGGGGCAGGTGAGCACACAGAGCAGTGAGGAGCTGCTGGGATGGGACACAGCGGGGAGCCAGGTGCCAGGAGGAAACCCATTTCAAGGCAGACAGTCACAGAGCACACTGGGCTCGGGAGGAACCCCGGTGCGGTGTTGCTGGTCAGCCTGTTCACGTGGCTGGGCCCGCCACCTTCCCAGCTCCTGTGCACACTCAGGCTGCAGCAGACACTCCCTGCTCTGCTCTCCCTTCCTTAGTGTGTCAGCAAACACTCCCTGCTTCCCACTGCTATGCTGGTGAAGCACCGAGCTCCACAGTCCCAAGCTATGGTGTAGCGGGTCTGGGCTTGCTTCACTGCCCTGGAGACATCGAGGCCTGCCAACTCTCAGAGACTGCTGCAGCTCATCCCAGAATCCCATGGGGACCTCAGCTCGCTGGAAACTCCTGAGCACAGGAACATGCCCGTGTTCATGCTCACGGAGCTCCGCTCTCCACCTCCATTCCGTAGACACTGAAGTTTTGAAACAAGTCTATGAGTTGCTGACAAAGAGCCCAGCAGCCAAAGGCTCTCCACAATCACCCAACAAAATGCAGAAGTACTATTCACTGCTAAAGACTGAGCAGAGGCCCCAAACCCAGCTGCCTGAGACAGGAAAACCGGGGGGATCCAGGCCCTGAGGACAACTGCTAAACATGGCACCCAGGTCATGCTGCCCTTGGTGTCACGTGCTGAAGAGTTAGAGCAGGTTCCAGGACTAGGGGAGCCCATCTTCAGCCTGGGCAGCACACTCGGCGCCCTCTGCAAACCAATGTGTGATACCACAGAACAGGGCAGGGCTATTTGCTTTAGCTGCTTCTAACCGAGTGGGGGTCTCTTCTGAAGACCAAGGTTTCCCAACTGCACTCTCCTGGTGGGTGACGATGCACAGACGATGCTGACAGCCATGGGTAATCGCTCACTCACAGATAGGAGAGGCCAGGCTTTGGCAGAGAGCTCTCTACATGTCTCCCGAGAGGACCCATAATCATGGAGCCAGATAGGAGGCCTGGCTGTCAGTTCTTGCCACACTACCAAATCTGGGTCACCCTGGGTCAGCGATGCGGCCTCTCTGGACCCCAGGGCTTCATCTGTACAGAGTGTGGGACAAATCGAGTATGTGGCAGGTGGGTCAGGACCACAGAGGGGATGCACCATCATGCGACGGAGCAGAACTCAGGCTGGGCTCCTGACCAGAAACCTTTGCTCCTCGAGCGGGTTCAGTACATGCTGGCCCCTAGGCCATGGGGACAGTGAGACTGTATACCTGAGGAGCACCCCAGGCCAGGCTTGCACAGCCGAGCAACCAGTGCATTTGTTCTTATTTCTGAGGCGATCCTCCTCAGAAGCCCTGGTCCTCCCGCTATATATGTTCACCCTTCAAAGAGGCTAGGGCTTAGGCAGGCCAAGATGAGAGGGTAATGGAAGGGAGCTCTGATCCTCTGTTTCAGTCGGCATCCAGAGCACAAGGTCTGCTTCAAGGCACAGAGATTACAGAGTGCTGAGTAAAAGTAAGTCTACAGAGTCCTTCCCATGGAAACCATCAGCTGTCCAAAAGTCACCGAAGTAAACTCAGACCTGTGTCCGGCACTACAGGGCGCAGCTTCTACGGGGCGTCCAACAGGGACATGGGAGCCAGCGGAGCAGTGCTGGGCACTAAAGGATGGGTAGGAGTTCACCCAAGTGACAGTGGCAGGATGGTGGCAAGTGCTCTCAGTAGAGTGGCCACAGGATTCAGAACCTCTGTGAAGGAGGATACTCATCTCAGAGGACTCTTGGGATGAGGCCAAACCCCTAAGAGACACAGAAAGTCACTTAGAAGCTTTAGGTAGGGGCCCGGCAGCAGCCAGATGTGGCCAGATTTGTACACTGAAAAGGCTGCAATCTGGAGCATGGCACAGGGGAGGGGCACAGGTAAACACCAGCGGATCACTGGGAGGCAACTGCAGAAATGCAAGCGGAAGGGGCTGGGGCCTCAGCGCCGGAGGCCGCCATGGGATGGAGAATCTATAAAAGCTAAAATCAGGGCCAGACCGGGGAGGTGGCCCAGTGGGTGGTGTGTGCGCATGCCAGCGTGAGGACCCGAGCTCTCGCCCCCAGCGCCCACACCGACACTGGAGCAGCTGTGAGCGCCCGCACTCCAGCCCTGCCGGTGCACACAGGACAATCCCGGCCTCACTGGCAGCCTGCCTGGCTGAGAGGCTGAGCTGTGGGTTCAGAAGACCTCACCCCAGAAACTAAAGTGGAGGGTGACAGCGGAAGAGCCCTGACACAGCCTCTGGCTTCGGCACTTACTCACACAGGCGAGGGCACGCCTCCGCTCCACACACACACAGAGCAGGTTTAAGCCAGAGGGGCTAGAGACTGGCCAACCCTCAGGATTTACAGCCCATCGAGAGACACCTTACCTCTGGAGAACAGGAGAATGCAGATGGCTGGCAGAAGCGGGAACGGAGGCATGATGTTAGACCTACGGGAAAAGAAAGCGGGCGTCGGTGCAGCCCTGCCACCAGACGCGCCCAGGAACAGCACACCCGAGGCATGGTCCCTGCAGCCTGGAGAAGACAAGCCCCCAAACCATGAAGGCTTTCCCCAAACACTCTAATTTTAATCAGCCATCTGATGCATTTCCTGCCCAAAGGTTCCCCAGTCTTGGCCCTGCAGGGTCCCAACAAGCCATCTTTAAAAGCAACTCCTTCCTCCAGAAGTGAACAAGGTGAAGGCTGGAATTGAACACTGTCATTTTCTGAATCCTCCAGCAAGTCAGTAACCTTCCTCCAGTTACTGAGGTCGTGTCCAAAGAGCGGAAATGTGCTAGTCTGTTTTCTGTTGCTGAGGGTAAAACACCGTGACCAAGAGCAACTTGGGGAAGAAAGGACTTATCTGGCATCCATCACTAGGGGAAACCAGCAGGAATCTAGAGGCAGGAACCAAAGGTGCCCACTGGCTTGCTCAGCCTCCTTTTGTGTACAACCTAGGAAGGGCCACCTGCCTAGGGATGCCACCACCCACAGTAGGACGGGCCTCCTACATCGACCATTAATCAGTGAAATGCCCTAAGCACTTGCCCACAGGCCAATATGATGGAGACATTTTGTCAACTGAGGCTCCTTCTTCCCGGACGATTCTAGCTGTGTCAAGTTGACAAAAACCTGCACACACAGCGTTGCCAGAACAGAAGCAGCGGGAGACTCCCAGGTGCCATCGAAGGGAGAAAGGTGGCTGGGTGGTGCTCATTCTGCTGGGAGGGACTTGCACTATCCCGGATGCCTGCTCTCAGCTCGCACTTTCCTGCATGCCCTAGACTGGACGTGGGACAAGTCCCACCTGCCGGTGGGCGGTGGGCGGGTCAGGTGGAGGAGGCAGTGAGATGACAGGCGTGTGGGACTCACTTCCCGATGCTGTCTGTCTCACTCCTTAGCTTCCCAGGAGCCATTCCCAGAGCCATTCCCGGTTTGCAGACTCTGACCCTGGAAGGCGCGTGTGCAGAAGCCAGAGGCTCGAACCTGCACGCCACATCGACTGATAGTTCCTAAAACCATATTCCCAGCCGGCCGTGAGGACGGGGACACCAGGGAACACAGGCACACCACAGGACTAACCTTGTCCTAGTGTGCCTCTGCTTGCCCAGCCAGGCTTCTTCAGAACCCCACCTCTCTGCTCATTAAAACAAGATTTACTTTGGCCTTCTGCAAATGGACCTGCATGGAAAACGGCTCCCCCAGATGCCAGTCACATG